ACCAAAAAAAAATCTGAAAACATCCGAAATTAGCTTTTGTTTTTGAACTTGAACTTACTCCTCTACACACTCTAAGACTTTTGGGCTAAACAAATTATAAATGCTTAAAACGGATCACGAAATGCCCAATTATGGTGTCATTACTTGTTTAGATATATCTCTGACGGCTTCAGCTTGGAATGTAAGTTTGTAATCAATAGTTGGAGGATGAGATAAAGTCATTTTGGTTAACTAGAAAATTTATTGAAATTTAGATCTATTATTTAGAAGATTTGTTTTTTGCTTTTAGATTTTGATTTATAAATAATTTGTAATATTTATAATTTGTAATATTTATAATTTATATATTTATAAATAATTTTGATTTATTTATTATTAATTATTTATAATATAAATTTAAAAAAAATAAAAAATTAATAAAAAAAATAATAAAAAATTAAATGAAATTAAATTAAATTTTATAATATAAATTTAGATTTATATTTTATTATAATATAAATAATTTAGATTTATTTATTATTAATTATTTATAATATAAATTAAAAATTAAAAATAAAAAAAAATTAAATAATTTAATTTTATAAATTTTATAATATAAAAATAAATAATTTAGATTTATATTTTGTTATAATATAAATAATTTAGATTTAAAAATTTAAATCTATAAAATTTGTGATATTTAAATATTTTTAGTAAAATTTTAAAAATTAAAAATTTACATCAGCTTGAAAAGTTTTTTTTTTTGTTGAAAGAATTACTGTAATAATTTCCTTGGTTAAAAAGTATTATATTTTTTTTTTGTAATTTTTACAGATTTTACAGACAAAAAGAATACACTTCCTACTTTCTTACCTTCCCCCCCTGAATATTTATTGTAGTTTATAACCCTTTCTACCCACAGATGATGACTTTTTACGATATGAATAGTTCCCTTATATACATTTACCACTCAACCGCATTTCGTTTTATAACCAAACAAAAATACAAAAAAAAAAGCGTGGTCTACTTACTCTTCCCATTTATATTCAGAATTCATTTTCGATTTCGATGGCTCGCTGGGTGGTCCCTCGATTATTTCGACTCTTTCTCGAATGGAACTCTTTGGTCAGCACATCTTCTTTGGAGCTTCTTCGAGGGGTAAACAAAGGCGGAATCAAAGCGCAGACAAATAAACACAGAGAGAGAGGGGGGCAGGACAACACACACAACACACACCACACCACACACACTCATTCCATTCCGGACGTTCCCAAGTGCAGTGTGCGACTTTATGATGGGGAAACCAACATCCCGAAAGATACAGAGATACAAAACAATCTGTAAGTGGGCATACACAGACACACACATCTGGCAAATGTGAGGGCAGCTGTCTGGGAATAACAATCGAAATGGGTCTGGGAATGGGTATAGAAGGAATCTGGTCCTGTTTTTCCTACATTTTTGTATTATTCCAACAACAGATGACGGGTGACGGGTGACGGAGACGGAGACAGGGAATGACCCAATCACAGACAGATTGCAGTTGGCATAACATAACCCACAACCCAAGCGCCTTTCGAGAGAGTTGTGTTGTGCCTGCTGCCTGATGTCCCTATGCCGTGAAAGCGTTGACGCAGCAGTCACAAAAGGTTGACACAATCCGCTCGAGATACTCGAAATGCATATATATATATGTATATATATGTACACCCCCGTTTGTATGTCTGTATGCAATCTGCATAAAATGCTGGCTAAATATAGAGCAATCTGTGGAAGTAAGCCCCAACCGAACTGGAGAAGCTGGGGATGATAGGGGGGTTTTGCCATGAATACAGTAATGCAGGAAAAGATTGAGAAAGCCGGGCATATCATTTGGCAAATGAAAAAGTTGAGAGATTGCATGCATTTTTACAAAAACTTATCTTGGCTTTTCTACAAGTCGAAAGTCGATTTATTGTAAAATTCAAATTTGTATTGAAAAAAACCCTATAATAGCTTGTGCTCAAGTCTCATTATTTTTTGGATTTTCAAGTCCCAGAACTGCGTTTAATTTTAGACCAATCTATGGTTTCATCTGCCCAATGCGGGTCCCTCCTCTTACCCTATATACAACACCCCTTCTACTGCATCTTCCCAATCCCAGGGCACCCGCACGAGTATATATATATTTATACATATAGATAGAGATGGGGTTGTGCCTGTCTGCTCTCCTCCACATCCGCCATGAGCTGAAGGTTGAATTGATCATAGTCATCGTCACCAGCCCAGCAGCGTCATCGAGCGTCAAGCGCCGCGCTGTAATCAATGCAATGAAAGCCAAGCCCGAGAGCTGAGAATAACACGGGATTGGAGGATTCCCCCAGAGGATAGTTAGATGGCTGATAGAAGCTGAAGGACCCCTCTGCCTCTAAACAATTGGCTCTAGTGTTTATCGCATTCCGAAGCGTAATCCAAAAAGTGATGTAAGGGTGTCCTCCTTTTGCTTAGACAGCTGAAGCTAAAAAAAAAAATAAAAACCCGGCGACCCAAAGCCAAAGCCCTTCTTTGCCATCAATTAGCCAGAATTTAACACTTGAAGAAAATGTGTAGAAGTTCTTTAAAATATTAAGAAAAATCAAAAGTATCTTTGAAACTAAATCTGAAGATATTTTATTATTAATTTAATTAATTAATATACTTCCCGTATTTCCTGACCTTTTTCTTATAATTTTTTAATATTGTTTATTCTAAAACCCATTTTCAATATTTATTACTGACCTTGCACAGCATTCTGTGACTTGAGAATTATAGTGGCTTAACCAGGGATTCTGTGACTTGAGAATTATAGTGTAATTTTGTTACTTGAGAATTATAAAATCAAGACAGTCAGAGAAGTTATGGTATCTTTCTAGTTCCAAATTATTTATTCAGGATTTTAAAATATATTTAAATATATACATTTCTAAAGAAAAACCTTAATAAAAATCTCTAATTTATAATAAACAAGTTTCTGGGAATTTCCCGACTAATTTTCTTTTCTAAAAGTGCACGGCTTTTGACTTTTGCTGACGCGCGTAAAAACTACGCCCCGAAAACCAGGAGACCCGAGACCCCTCCTCCCTCCTCCCTCCCCCTATTCCTTTTTCCCGAAGCTTTGGTGCTGCAGCCTGACCTACATCCACGTCCACGTCTACAAATGCAACAACAGCAAGAACAACAACAACAACGAAGGCAACGCATCGGCGGAAAACACACACAAAATCAGCCCAAAAAAAAAAAAAAAGAAAAACCCGAAGCCGTAGCTCTGCGCCAGCTGACCTGAATTTTCGCACACACACACACACACATACAAACTGGAAGCCGGCATTTTCCACACAGCATCAAGGAAATGATGGAAAATGGGCAAAAAGGAAGATAGAATAATATACAAGAGAGGAGAAAAAGTCTGCTAATTTTAATCAAATTTTCCCGTTGGGATTTTAGCAATGATTTCTGAAGGAAGAAGGATGTAAAAACCCACAATTTGCATATGTTGATTGGGAGGAGTGAGGTAAACACAAGCCGGTTAAAAGGGCGTCGTCCTTTTGCTCCTCCCCCCCACCCACTCTCTGCTCAAAAATAATAGCGGTAAAGATGTGAGAGAGATAAGAACATGATCGCTGGTCAGGGGCGAAACAAAGCGAATGGGAAACATAGCAGGAGGAAGGTAGAATAACAAGGGAAAAGAGCCGAAAAAGGAAGCCGGAAGTGTGCAGCTGCCGCCGCCCCCTCTCCACAATATCCCCTCTCGTGCTCACTCTCCCCCTCTTTAGAGGCCCAGAGGCGTCACATGTAGCGCACATGGCGGGAACAAAACGAAATTGGAACAGCTGCAAATGTGAGAGCAAGAGAGAGCAGGATATCAGACGAGAGGCTGCACATGGCCAAAGCGGAACAGAGTGGAAGCGAAACGGGAAGAGGATGAGGATGAGGCAGCAAGCAAGCAGCAGCGATGGAAATTGAAATTTATCCACGCGTTTTTTCCACGCTCCCTTTTTTTTGTTGGCCCTTTGTCTTCCTTTTATGCAATTGCAGGTAAAAGAAAAACACAAAAAAAAAGCAGATAAAGAAATGAATAGAAAGGAAAAATAAAAAGAAAAGCAAGCCGAAACAAAAGACACAAACACACGACATACCGAAATTCCCAAATAGATGGAACTCAAAACTCAAAACTAAAGACTGAAAACTCGAATCTCAAGTGCTTGAGGCTCAAGAGTTCTGCTCAAGTGGCACTTGGAATAACTGACAAAAAAAAAAAAAAAAAACTAAATAAGGAGGCACAGAGGAGGCGCTACATATTATGCCCATTATGCACAAGTACCCTATAAAATATATACTATATAGAGTAGGGCACTCTATGGATAAGATATTATAATTGCTGGGAGGCAAAGTGTCTGGTAAAGGTGGTGCCTTCGGGGATTCCCCTTACAAAGTTGGGGTTTATTAAACTAAGGTTTTTTTTTTATATTTTAAAGTTCTATTATGAAGATGGTTAATTAAAGGTTCTTAAATTAGTTCTTTAAGGATGGTTCTCCTTTCTCTAAATATTTTTCCTTGAGGAGTATTATCTATGTTTGATTATTTTTTATAAAGCTTGATACTTTCTCCGATTTGTCCCGTTATGTAAAATATATTGTTTTATTTATACTGTTCTTGGCTACATGGATTGCTTAAATATTGTTACCAAGTTGAGCTAAGCCCATATAATATCATATATTATATTTATAATTCATTTATAATTTATTACAAATATTTCAGGATTTTTTTTAAAGCTTTCTTGTAAAAGCAAGGCATCTGCTTTAAATATTTTAAATAGTTTAATGGCTCTACATAGCTTAGTTATCTGAATCTGTTAGGTTTATATATCCCTTACCTCCCTCATTAAATGCATTCCCTTAGCCCCAAAATAGTTATCTAGTTTCCCGTTAACTAAAATCCCAGTGTTATTATCCATTAACCGTTTACTATTTACCGTTATCGGGCTTAAAAGCAGTACTACTCACCTCGAGGTAAACATCGCTGTCCGGATTGAAGGTGTCGTTAACCCGACGGAATGTGTAATTCACGTGCGGAATCGAGTGCAGGATTTTGACGAGAATACTTGGTTGTTCCATTTTTGTTGCTTTTGCCGATGTTGTTGTTGTTGGATTTGTTGTATTTGTTGCAGTTGTAGTTGCACACACACATGCACACTCGCGGCCACAAAGGAATATAAATCGCTCTCCTCCCCTGCTCCCTTCCTCTTATACTTTTCGGTTCTTTTTTTTCGGGTGGGGGCGTTTCTGTGTGGGATATTGTGTCTGTCGGTGTGCGTGGTGCGTCTGCGTGTGTGTGTCTGTGTGTGTGTCTGCCAGCGAAGGACGTCGCTGCTTTTGACGTCACAAAACGCCGCCGCCGCCGCCGCTGATGCTGCTGCTGCTGCTGCTGTTGCCCGAGAGAGATAGAGACACGGCAAGGCTGCAAGAACAAGACCCAGAGAGCACCGTTAGGAGAGAGTCAAAGAGAGAGCAGCAAGCAGTGTGCGGGGGAGAGTCCTGTTGCAAAAGCAACAACAACGCATGCTCTCTCCACTGTCTCTCTCTCTCTCTCTCTCTTTTCCTTTTAGCGCGTCCTGTCCGCTGCTCTAAATTTTCACTTTCACTTTTCACACACCCAAAAAAAAAAAAAAAGCACAAGACTAAGAAAAATTCTGAATTGCAAAAAACTGCACTGCTCTTGGGTTGAACAAAGAAAAGGAGAAATGACACAATCAATCGCACTCAATTACACACTATCGTACACACACAACACACATGTAAAGCTCGCCTGCGGTTTGTTTTGATTCCGCAAAAAAAAAAAAAGGATAAGAGAAATGTGCGAAATTTGTTGGGAAAAACTTGCAGCTATTTCTGGCAAGTGGAAGGGGGGGCGCTATCTTGGGCACTTGTTTTCCTGTCTATTTCATTCACACCGCCGATCGAGAGATTTATTTATATATATATATTGATGCAGGACGATATAGAACCTCCAATCGCGAGTTCAGGGCGTTGTTTCATTTACCGTTTCGTTTCGTTTCCGACTCGTTCCGATTCGCGAACAACCGCCTCCTCCACGTCCTGCTTCGTCCTCCCTCTCCTCTCCACCACACAATTCTGACCGTCTGATGTTAGCCAAAAAAAATAAAGATATTTATTAAAATATCATTATATTAGCGACGGTTCTCCGTGTTTTCTGCACTCGGGAATATATATCCTCGAAATATCCGCGGATACTTCCTGACCCGGCGATTTTTCGGAAACACGGATGCGACGGCACACGACTTCCGACTTTCTCCGCGACGTTTGAAATTCGAAATGCTGAATGTGCCGTTAGAGCTGTCAAAAAACAACACTCTAGATATCGATATATCGAAAGTTTGATTTTCTTTCCTGCTTGCCACGGAGAAGGTTGCAACAACTGGTGGAAATTGTCAGGGAAAAGGTGGTTGACTCTGGTGAATAGGTACGAAACATGGCTAAACAAAAATTACCTTCTCCTGTGAGAAGGGACATGTCAGCCCATAATCCCTGCATTATCATTAAAAAAAAAACACATTGTTTAGTAACTCATATCAAAATATATATATTACGCTATAAACGTTTATCCTGGTTCTAAAAGCGGCACAGGCAAACACGGCTAATATCGAGTGGCATGATTATCGATTGTCCCATAACAGAGAGAGAGAGAGAGAACTTTCATCCCAGGATATCCAAGAGAGCTATCTTGTGCTCTGTAAAAGAGAGGCTCGGGAGCAACACGACTTGTTGATACCTTGCATAAGACTGATTATTATAAATCTAATATAGCAGTTTAAATATTTATGGTCTTTAATAAAAACAAGAGGCTTAAAAACTCGGAAAGCCCAGCTTTGTTATGGGATATGGATACTCAACATTTAACTTCAACAACAAACAATTAGCCCCACTGTTGACAAGTAGGGTGCTCCATCTTTCGGCTTTCCTTTGACTCCGATTAGCCGAATCGAGAATGGAGCTCAGAGGCCGTAGAAGGAGAAGGAGGAGTAAATGGGCAGTTGTAGCGTAGTAGTCCAAGAAGTAAACAAGAAGGAGGAATAGAGATAACGATAGTTGGCTTACTTCCTTACTTTCTTTCCTTTTCTTTTCTTCTGACATTATTTGATTATATTTATTTTGTTGAAGAAATTCAAAATGCAACGGCAAGCTGGTTTCTTTTGCTTTCTGCTGATTTTTCAATTTTTCTACCTTTTTTTTACGAGACTCTCTGTCTTCCTCTTGTGTTTTTATTATTATTTTTATTGTACGAAGTAGTTTTATCAAAGTCAAGCAAAACGAGTTTGCCAGCGAACAGAAAAGCTTAAAACAAAAGCAAACGGCGACAGCAACTAACAAGAATAACCACTAAGTATGGGCCAGGGGGGGCGGTGGGTGCATTGGATACCCTACCCCCCACTCCTCTCACTCCTCTTTTTTTTATAACTTCAGGTTGCCGTAATTCGAGGCAGCAGAAATTCTTCAACTTGGCGTTGTTGGTTTCAGTCTTTATTTTTTTTTATCGCTATTGCTATTGCTTTTGACTCTTGGCCCGGCCTCAAGTCGGTGGAAATATGATTATTAATAATAAATATTTGTTCAATGGCGGCAGACTCATCATGTTTCTTGTTGTTGCTGTTCTCTCTCCTTCTCCTTTCGGTTTATTTTCTTATTTTTGTTGCAGTCGCAGACCCACACACACACACACGCACAAACATTCTTATCAAGGAGCGCACGCACATGTGAAGTGTAAATAAAACGGCAGAAATTGAACTGAATTGAGGCAATTGCCAGGCCATTGAAGTTAAAGTGCCACTAAACTTGAACTTGCCTCTTCAGAGAGGCAGCCTCTTATTTATAAAAACTTCGTATAAAGACGAGAAATGCATTAGAAGGAAAAAAAACACAAAAAAAACGGCACTCACACACACATTCACACACAGACGCACTCTAACAAAATGTAATTCACACCTTTTACTGCCGTTTACAAACTTCGAGAACTCGAATCTTTATGACCGATCCACCGCACGAATCGGCTAAAGACTTTACATGTTCAGTTTTATTTAGCAAACACTTTTCTGCGCTTTAAAAACGACAATTTCCGAACGAAGGAGATGCAAGACCGTCGATGTTGCCACCGATTCTAGTTTTTATTAGAAAGGCGATACATCGATATTTTTCTCTAAACTATCGCTGTTATAAAAAAGAGTCATACCGAAATGATTTTAGTTAAAATATAAATATTTTTAAAACATTTTAAATGCGTAAAAAACACAGTAGATGTCACTAGCGGTATATTAATTATTTGACTCTGACCGGCATATGACTATCGATTGTTATAATGTACAACAGACAATCGATTTTCCTAGCCAACATCAGTTTTGTTGCTAGTGTTGTCTTTTAAGCTAAATCTAGCGATTTTTTTTGTTTATTAAATTTATTAAATTATTTTTTTTTTTTTTTAAATTTGCGGAAATTTGTACGGAATAAATCTCGTATTTGGGTTTAGTTTATTTTTTATCCATATATTTTTTTTAACTTTTAGCTTCTTTTTCTCAGAATCAAGCTTGTAGGTCAACACTGTCACACTGGCAAAAAAATATATAGAATTTAAATAATTGTAAAAAATAATAATATAATAATAATATAAAAAAAATAATATAGCTATCTAGGAACGATTAAAAATTGTAATTGAAAGTAATATGAAATTTAAAATATTTTGTTATATTTTTGGAGAATTCTCTATGTTATATTACATTATTATTATAATATAAAAAACATATTTCAATATTTAATTAAATATTATTTAAATAAATATTGTAATATAATATATTTTTCTACACAATATTTATTTATTTTAGGCTTTTATTTTAGAAAAAATATTAAATTAACTAAAACCCCTCCTCCCTCGTATCCCGTGAGTTTTCAATAAAACATCACCAAGTAATTATGGAAAAATATCATATGTATTTAATTGGATAATGCGAGAGCGCTTAATGACATCAAATAAATAGACGCACAAAGAAAAGTGGACATAATACATAATATTTGTATAAAGGAGTTTAAACATATTAGCATCTCTCTTTTGTTAAACTTTAACTTAAATTTAAGAGTTAAGCTTAGTCTGTAATAGAAAAAAAACACAAAATTTTAACTTATAAAAGACAAAATAAAATGACATTACCAAAAATATATGTATATCTACATTACATCTTAATATCTCTCTATATTATATATATATAATATATATTCTTCACGATCTTAGAGCTATGAATTTATTTTATTATTAATGCTTTGTTATAAATATATATATATATATATATATATATATATATATATATATTTACATTTACAACGATATATCATCTCATCTCATATTTGTGTCTGTGTTGTGCACATACAAAAAATTTTCTTTTTTTTTTTTTTTTTTTGTTACGATTAAACGACAAAGTCTGTCAATGGATTTTTCTTTTACATTTCAATTTTTATAGATTTTCCGTTGCTTGGGATTTGTACTTGCAAGTTGCTCGCTCATTTTTATTATTTTTTTAATTTTTAAATTACTTTAGGGTTTGTTTTTTTAGCGGCGTCGCGTGGCTCCACTTGCTAGCAATCCAGCGCCACCTCCAATGCCTGCTTCTGTTAATCCTGCTCCTGCTGCGGCTCCTGCTCCTCCTCCTGCTGCTGCTACTGCTGCTGCTGCTGCCGCCGCTGCTCGACTGCGTGCACTGTAACAACTGATGGCCGTCATCATGCTTCCACCGCCACTGCCATTACTGCTGCTGCTTCTTAGAGACCACCGCTTGTTGAGATGATCTGCTGCCGCCGCCAGTGCCGCCGTGTATGCTCGGGTACCTATGGCCAGCGTGGGCACTGAGGCATTTAGCTTCTTGGGCGAGGGTGGTGGCCTGGCCGAAATGGCTCCTCCATTGCAGGCTTGAAGGCGCGTGGCAACACCAGGTGCACTTAAGTTGCTCCTACGCAAGCTGCGTCTCTGCTCTCGATCGTTGTGAACTCGTTTCAGGCGTCTCGAATTGGAGGTGGTGTTGCTTCCGCTGCTGCTGCTGCTCCTGCTGCTGTCGGGATTAGAGTTAACACGCGTTGTGCTGGCTGCGGCATTGACTCCACTTGGACCCACAACAACAGCTGGCGGTGTTCCTGGGACATTTCTGGTCCGCAGCGTACGCTTGGTTATGTCATGGCCCAAAGCCAGATTGCAAAGACTGCTACGCAGCTGACGCTTGCTAACGCTGGCGGCGCTGGCACTCAAGCTGTGACTGTGGCTGCGTCGGGTGGTCATGCCCGTGGAACTGGCAGCCGTGGAACTGGCAGTACGACGACGATTTGCAGGTGTGACTGCCACGGCCGATGAAGGCTGAACTGGTCCTACTCCTCCGCCACCCACACGATCTATGGTATTAGTGGAACCACTAGCTCCTCCTCCAACTCCTCCTACTCCTCCACTGCTACTACTGCTATCACTATAGGCCACAATGGCGGCGGCACTGGCATTGATAAAGGATTTGGGTTTGCCATGCTTAAAGATCTGACGGCGACGCGTCTGCATGTGCTGATGATTCTCATTGGGCACATTGCGATACCGTCGCATTTGACGGATTCGTGGCTCGAGGGCTTCCCCGACACCAGGATTGGCCACAACCGGTGAGATTTCAACCTGTTCTTGCAGCTTCTGAATCTGTTCAAAGATGTAGTGCACAGCATGGGCATCTTCTTTGCGTATTTCAGCCACAGTTTCTAGGACAGCAGCCAGGCCTTGTGTCACTTCTTGGATCTTTGCTTGCTCCGGTTCGGGTGTTGCTGCTGCTGCATCTATTTGTTCCATTTGCCGCGTTGGTGTTGCCGGCAATGTGGAACTGACTTCATTGTCCTGCAGCTGCTCCTGATCCACATCCATCTCTATGCTGTCCGTGACTTTATCCACATGGAGTCCTTGGTGCTGGGTTGTAGCCCAATGGTTAGACGTGTAACCAAAGTCCTGTTGACCTGAACTGCTGCTGGCCACCTCCATTTGGAGCTGTTCCTGGTGATGTTGATGTTGTTGCTGCTCCTGTTGCTGCTGTTGCTGTTGATCCTGTTGCTGTTGCTCTTGTTGCTGCTGCTGCTGTTGCTCCTGTTGTTGCTGCTGCTGTTGCTGCTGCTGTTGCTGTTGCTCCTGTTGCTGCTGCTGCTCTAGAGCCACTTGCTCCTCTTCAGCACGCTCCTGCTGCAGCAAGGCATCTAGTTCAAGCAGCTCTGCAGGCTGTTGCCATGCCTCCGCCGCCGCCACCTGAGGCTGACTCTCCTGTTCCCGTTCCTGCTGCATCTGTTCGCGTCTCGTTTCCAGCTGGGTAAGAGAGTAACCCTCCTGCTGTTGATAGTGCTGCTGCTCCTGGATTATCTCCTGCATGCTGCGATCCACCACAACGGATGGGGAATGTACAGAAGATGGGCTGGATGCAGCTGCTCCCGCCGCCGCCTCGGCTGCCGCTGAACGAGAACGTGCCGCCTCCAGCTCCTCCTGTTCATTTAGCAGGGTATTATAGGATTCGGCAAAGCTATAGCTACTCTCCAGATGCTGCTCCAAATCGTTATTTGCTGCTGGATTCGTTGCTGCTGCTGGCGGCACTGATGCTATGGAGTTGGCATATATGGCGCACATATCCAATACTGGTCTCTCCTCATCGGGTTCAGGATCGGGTTCCAGTTCAGTTTCACCATTCCACGTGGATTTGCGCCTAAACAAGCTTTGTTCTAGTTTATGATTCACCTCCAAAGGTTGCTTCTGCTCCTCCTCATCGTCCTCCTCGGGCTCATCCTCATCCTCATCGGGTGTATCCTCATCCAAGGCAAAGTAATCAAAGTCACGATAGGCTTCCGGTGGCAAATGACGCTTGGCCAAGGCACTGTATGGCGTATCCAGGACATATTCATCCTCCTCAATGACACTCAGATGCGGACAATTGTTTTCGATATCCACAGGTGCATCTACATCATCCTCATCATCCTCACACTCCTCCACCTCTAGCAGCAGCTCAACATCCATGTCGGGATCACGGGCTAAAGCAGACTGAGCTGCTGCTGCTGCTGTCTGGGATTGATGAGAGGAGGCTGTAGCCGCCGCCGCCGCCGGTGTTAGTATCACAGTTACCACGGACGTATTGTCCGCCCGCATCTTCTTTGAGGCCCAGGTCTTGAGAGCCTGATCCACCAAAGCCTTGCTGGGATTCATAACGTCCTGCTCGTTGAGTATCTCGCCAATAAGATGCTCTTTGCGTACACTGTCCACCGCCTCCTGGGCGGTAACCACATTCCACAGGCCGTCGGTGCCAAAGATAAGGCATCTGCAGGTTAAAAATTAAATATATAAATATATAATTAATTCTGTATGAAATTTAAAGGGAAAAACTCACCTAAATGTATTGGGATCTATTTTGACCACCTTAACATCGGGATCCGGACTGACCACAAACTCTTTGCAGCGGGAATTATAGCTCCAGAGATCGCCCAAGGATCGAGCCACCGCCAAAAAGGGTATATCATCGACCACGGTTCGGCGACGGATCGGTCCACGATGCATTGGATCTCTGGGTCGATTCCATACCACACGGGGTACACCGGATTTAATGGCCACATTGCCACCGGAACGCTGGATGCGCATCTTTTCCGCCATCGATTCCGGTTTATGATCCGTGGTCAATTGACGGGCCCGCCAGTTGCGTTCACCCTTGTTCTGGTAGCCCAGGACGATGCCAGAGTCGCCGACATGGCCTATATAAATCTTTTCGCGACGCATAAAGGCCACTGTGGCGGTGGTGCCAGCGGTGCTCAGGTGTCCATTGGCAGTGCGGGGCCATTTTTCTAAAAGAAAATTTAAAAATTAAAGGTTATTATGAGTTTTGGGGGGTTTTGAGGTGGAAATTAGATGTATTTTTTTAGATTTTATCTAAAAATAAATTAAATTAAAAATAATTCTATAATTTCAGCAAGAAATCCATTAAAAAATGTGTAAATTTTTTAGTTTATAACAAAAAATTTGGCAAAAAGGGTATATTTTTAGATTTTAAATCTATATATTTTTAGATTTTAAATCTAAAAATATTTAAAATTAATTAATTTATTTTGTTTTAAGTTTAAAAAAATATATCTATAAATTTGTTTTTAAAGTAATATTTTTAAAAATTATAATAATATAAAAAATAAATTTCCTACAGTGAAATAAAATAATAATTTCATCATATTATGAAATAACATTTTCCTGCTAGTTTTTTTAAATCAATAAAACTTTCGGTATTTTGGCGCTACAAAATGGTCAGGCATTATCTTCAAGAGAAAACAGCAACAAAAAATATCAAAACATGTTTAAATATTGATATTTCTCACACGCACACACATGCATGGGCATGTCTATTTACATGTATCTGGCATCCCTTGAATTTCTGGTGTTTCTTTCTTCGTTTTTTTGTTGTATTTAGTCATGGCAAAGAGGAAATGGGCACACATTTATTTTCTCTCCTCTTCAGTGCCTCCCATTCTCTCTCTGTCGTTTCGAAACGCCTTCATGAGTTCGCGCCACCATTCTATATGGTGGTCCTGCTCTAACGCATGGCTAGAGACCGCAGCGGGGTTGCCAGAGTACAGCCTTTAACGGGAGTACAGCCATATGGCAAGCCCATGGAATATTCCACTCGCCCAGCGATAACCGCCGCTGTATGTGTGTGTGTGTGCGAGAGTGGGCAGACAATAGAGATGAGCGGTTGAGCGATGGTTGAGTCACCGCGCGCCACAGCGCACACGGTTGCATAATTGACTAGAGGTGGGAGAGTGATGGCTGCTGCTTTTATGGGGTCACTTTAATTTTTTTTTTTTTTTTGTTGGTGGGGGGCTCTATAACGGGGGATTTACCAGGTTTGGCAAATCAGCAAGTGTAGGTCTGTGCACTTCCGATGGGGCGCCTAAATCAAAAGTCGTGCGTGACTGACTACAAGGTGCAGCGGCAGCACATCGCTAACGGACATTTGAACTGTTTAAAATTTAACGTGGGGGAAAAATACAAATACAAAATGGTGAATTTTCAATGGAAAATGTTGAAAACGCGTCCTATTTATACTTGTTTTGCCTCTCAGAGGGGGTTTCAATGAATCAGTTTTGTATTTTTAGTATTTTACTGAACCTCCAGACTCTGGGTGTTATTATTTTACTATATCCAATTATTTATAATTAATTTATTTATACAATATTGAAGGCTAAGGAGGAGCTCACCTTGTTCTCGCCACATGGCGAAATGTGTGGCAATATATCCTTCGCGTATAGCTCGCAGCACATCCTCGTCATGATCCGACCAGAACAGCTTCTGCTTGACAATCTCCAGCATTAGGTGCTCCTTGGCAAATAGGGCCGCCTCGGGGCCACCGTGGCCGTCGTAAATGCCAAAGAACGCGTATTCCAGCTCGTGTGTAAGCGGTGATTCTTGATAGGCAACGGAGAATTGATCTTCCATGTACTTCCTGCCCCCTTGGCTGCACTGTCCCGTTACGCGCATATTAACACCCAATGTGGAGCAGGGCGAGGGATTGGAAGCGGGGCTGGTTGGTGAATTTGAATTGGATCTGCCGGTGCTAGACTCGGTATGCTGCTGTGATCGTGGATGCCGGCGTAGACGGGATTGTACGGCGCCACCGCCCCGAGATCGAGGTTGTTCCGGCTCCCGTTTCTTTTGGTTCAAAGGCCTCGCTGGTGCTTCCGCCGCTTCCACGTCCATTTCCATGCTTCGAGGCGGCGTAGTGTTTCTCGCCGGCGCAACAACAACAACACTGCTGGCATCCAGTGCTGGATGGCATTCACCGTTGCTGCTGCTATGGGAAGTGGAGGACGATGACAATGGCTGCTGCTGCTGCTGCTGTTGTTGCTGCTGATGATGATGGTGGGGACTAACGGTAGCAATGCGGGGCGTTGCGGCATCCGCATAGTAGTTAATAATATCGTATTCCACACGGGTCACATCCTGCTCGCCGCCGTTAGGTGCCGTTGTTTCCTTTAAACGCACCACCGTTCGTTCAATGGCCGACTTGATGAGGCATCTATTGGTGTTGGTAGTGGTCTGGATCTGGGTCTGGTTGCTACTGCCGCCTTTTGCTGGCAACATTGTCTTAATTTGTGTTGTGTTTTTGTTTATGTTTTTGCTGCTGCTGCAGCTTCTTCTTCTTGTTGTTCAGTTTCGGCTGCTCTTCCTCTTCCACAGCCCGTTTCCAGTTGTTGTTGCTGCTGGTGCTGCTGCCTTCTAAACGTCTCGCAGTGTTGTAATTTCCGATGACATTTGGCACTCTCGCACACGTACATCAACACGAAAAAAAAAATACAAAATATACAAGAGGGAAAAGCGTACAACAGGCGCGCGTCTAGCCGTCTCGCTCTGTCAGCCAATGCGCTGCCTTTGCCGTGGCTGTTAAAGTGAGATGACTATACACACACACAGCACTCTTCACTATACAATACTGTGTTTGTGTGCGTGTGTTTCCAACGTATTTACGTTCGCCTACTCTGTGTGTGTGCGTGCTCCATCTAGCGCCGTTCCTCTTGTTGTTGTTGCTGCTGCTGTTGCTTATGTTTAGTATTTTGTATTTTGTAAAATCGCCGCCAAAATTTTCCTGCTGCCTTTTTCCAAAATCAAATGTTGTTGTGAATCCGAAAGCTGTCTTCCTGGGGGGGCGGGAACATGGGCTTGCAGCAGAGAGAGAGCCGAGGTACACGGAGATAGAAGAGTAAAGAGTCAATGCCAGCTGTGGGGCGCGCAGTTTCACCTTGATGATTCGTTGTTTGTCAGCATTTTCGTTGCGATTCGGGGAATTTCGCTTTTGACATAGATTGTTTCTGTCGAGCGCGTTCACATTCACACACAGACAACAAAATGCACGGTAAATTGTTAACAAAAATCGTTGGAAAAAAATAAGACGAGAAATCAAATAGAAAGCAAGCGTGCGACCGTTTTGAAAGTAGAAGGAAAATACCGTTTTGAGCAGTACAGAAAAAATACTAAAGCCAAGGCTTTCGGTGGCTAATCGATAAATAATGAGGGTATTCCCTTTGAAAAAATTGAATAATTGTATTACTCAATTAAAAATATTAGTTAAATCTTAAAAAAAAATACACACTTTATGAGGCAATAATTTAATTTCTGTTATAATACACATTTTGAAATATTTTTCATACAAATAAATACCAAATATGCATAACTTATAAAATAGCTGATACTATGAAAATGCCTAAATTGGTAATATACTTTGCCGATATTTTCATAACAAAATAAATAAATAAAATACTTTTAAATATGTATTATTTATAAGTTATGTAATATTTATAAGTTTTAAATTTACCAAAAAAATAAGTGGAACTTGTTTATAGTTTCGCGTGTCATATCTTTGAGACGGAAAGTGTTCGATAGTTTTTCAAAAATAAATTTCTAATTAAATGTAAAAGGGTTACTGAAGTCAATTTGTACTATTCAAAATTGCTTCTATTAAGCATTCTTAATTTTGTTAATGTTTAAACATTTTATTTAATAATTTTACTTTCCGCCCAGCTGTCTTTATCGCAAGCAACTCTGCCGATTTCCCCGGCATCAGAGATGCTCGATCCCAAAAACTTGCTATCGAATAGGTAAAAGTGGTCATCAAATGGGGTTAATTGTCAGAAAAATATTAATTTTCTTGAAAATTAATAAACAATTATCAGTGCCTTGCCCTAAGGATCGGTTTTCGTAGGCTACAATTTAGTCCCGGCCACCCGGTGTCCGGAATTCCACAGCAATCGGCAAACCGATAGCTGGCGGCCGCACAACGCAGCTGCCAGACGCCGCCCGCCAGACGCGGCCTGCCAGACGCCGCCCGGAGCCAGCCAATCAGCGCCGCGTGCGACTGGCTTGTCGGCGACTGTCGCCTTCGATCGAATCCGTCGGACAGTTTACCAAAACCAACCAAAGCGCCCAGTTACCCAGTCAGGCCGACGTGCTACACAAATCAATTCCAGTCCCATCCAGGCGAACACGACGAGTACGCTTAGCGGTAAACACAGCACTCCCACACACACAGTACCACGTACAAGAAACATATATGGGAATTTTTTCGCATCGCTCCGGTTTCCGAATTTCCCCAAATTCGCCAAACGAATCATACATTTTTTTTCACGTTTCGTTCTCCCCCCCCAAAGTTCTGTTCTAAAAAAATGCAAAAAGCCGCGGCGTGCTAAATTTGTATTGCGTGCAAGATTGCTACCAACAAAAAAAAAAGAAGAAAAGAAAAAGAGGAATGGAAGAATATAAAAGGAGACACCAACACACTCCCACACACAGAAGCCGCTAATACATTTGCAGTTTTTTTTTTACATATTTTTTTCGCTCGTCATATTTGCATTTTGAAGTTTGAGATATTTTATTAGACATTTTGGTGACAGCTGTTGAACTCTGAACACGAAACGGGAAAAAATCGTAAACGAAAAGTGTGTAAACTTCCCGCGCAATGAACGGAAATTAGAGGTAAGTTAAACTGCATAGAATAATGGATGAAAGAAAGAACAAAAAAAAAAAAACGTGTGTGAATGTACTGTGAATGCAAGTTGTGCAATTTTAATTATGCGAAAGTTCCCACATATCGGCGACCGGAATCTGCATAAATAATGGTGAAGCTATTTTCTGATTTTTTGTATGTGTATAAATTTTTTTTTTTTGTGAAGCCGGAGGCGTAGAAATCAAGTTTTCGGGTTGACGTCATGTCACCAGGTATAATCATGAATGTTTCGGCATTTCGGCATATTTGGTCAGCAATTTCCGCTTCAAGTTCTCGGGAACTTTCGAAAATGCAAAATTAGAGACGGTGCCCCGAAAAAAGGCTCATCTGTCAAGTTTGGCAGAGTGCTAATGAATGGAGTGCCCGCGGCGGATAGAAGGGGGTTGTGTGGGGGGAAAAGCTGGTCAAAATTAGGCGAGCATCGTTGCAGGGGGAAAAATCGCGGGTTTCCAATTGCACACACACACACAGACTGACACACGCGCGCACATGGACATGGGGAAATTCAATTACCCTGCGTGTGTGTGTGTGTGCAAAGAGCATTGCATACTTGCAGGTGGAGGCAGGTCCACTCTGCATCTCTCTCAGTCTCTCACTCTCCATCTCTTTGCGCTGTCAGCCCGTCATTTATAATTTCATTTTCACTGCGAAAGAACAAGAGTTTTGCGCTCCTCTTTTATCATAAACATAGTTCCTGGCCCCCTCCAACCCCTTCGTTCTATCGCCTGCTTAACTGTCAATATGCAGTTTCTAATTGACTTCATCAGAAGAAGAGGATGAAAAAGCATCATCAGAAGCAGAAGCAGCAGCAGCATAGCCATCTCTCTCTCACCCACTCCATTGCATTTGGCCACCTGTCAACTGTATTCAGCTCTCCTCTCCGCCTCGTTAGACAGTTGCCGTTGCCTGTTCCCGTTATGATTTGTCTGTTCTGCCTTGCACTTTACTGTCAAACGTCAAATACACGAACCGGGGCGAAAACAAAATACACAAGAAAAAGAGCCGGAACTAATTTCAGTTGCAGATAAACTGCGTCCAGATTCAGTAGCTCCAACTTTTGATATTGATAAATTAACGTAAATTGCAAGGAAAGGGAGGGGAGCAGTTCGTTCGGATATTAACTTTGCTGCTTTCCTGTTTACCGTTTTGCTTCTGTTTCTGAAAGGAGTCGCGGAAATTGGTATAATCCAAGGAAGTTGTCATCCAAGAAGTTGTGAAAAAAAAGGTAAATAAGGGGGACATGTAGTTATCAATTTTAAAAATAACAGAAAAATGATGAAAATGATCTTAAATTGATTGATTCTTATCAGTTATAAGAGAAATCTCAATATTTGTCCTGCTCTTCTAGCTTAGTGACAATTTTGATCTCACCTTTCAAGGCTCGACTGTACTTGGCAAATTAGTTTACCCGAAAGGGAATGCGCATGCAAGTTGAAACTGGTTGGAGCTTGCATATTTGCAGTAATTATTTTTTGCTCGTGAGGATTTACAATTTCTCTGCCCTAGTGCTTTATCTCCGGCTTTCTGGTCGCTTTGGTTTTAGCCACTAAATGGGTGGGGGGCTGAATGAAAAGGGGGGGACTAGAGGTTGAGTAGTCGTAGCAACTAAATTTTGGTTGCGGTTGCTGCTGTGCTGCTTTATGCCCCTTTAGGGCGTCCGCCCTTCCGCCCACAATTTCGCCCTTTGATTTTGAGGTTGCAATTGCAAAATGCCAAGCGCACTTAGTGAGCTAGTCCCTCCCCCTTCCCCACCTTTCTCCTCCCTATCTTTCCTTGGCCCACTGTGTGGTTTGCGTTTTGGTATTTAGCCCGTGTTTGCTTTGGCGTTTGTTCTGATCTGATCCTCCCTCTCCCCTCCCCCTTTCTCCCTGCTTTCGTTGTTCGCAACTAATAAGCAATGCCACATAGCAATGCTCGCAAAAGTATGCTACGAAAAATACAAGAAGAGAGCAATTGCAGCAAGGAAGAGAGAGAGAGCCTTGAATTTGAATTAGTTGTTGTTTCGCTGTTGCTTCGCAGCCTCTGTCATGGCCGTACATGTGTCAGTGTGTGCGTGTGTTGTGTGTGGGAGAGTGGGAAGTAAGTGGGCGAGAGCGAGAGAACAATCGCATCTGCTCAAGGCCATGTTGCACTGCAGCTGCCATCTCGCTTCTGCTCCTTCCCGGCTAATTACATATATGCATGCGTTTGTGTGTCTGTGTGTGTGTGTGCATTAATATGTCATTCTGTGGCTCTGATATTTGATTTGTAATATTGCTGCTGCTTGTGTTCTATAATTAAATTGCCAGGCAGCTGCTGCTGCTGCCGCTGCTGCTGATGTTGATGTTGCAGCAACTGGCCCGAAAAAGTATGCAATGCGCCTGCGTTATGTCCGCATGTGGGCGGCTGAACGAACGGCTATGTGTGTGTGTGTGTGTGCGTGTTAACTTGATTGAAAACCCGCTCTTTAATTGAAGAAAACGCTAATAACATTTCTCGGATGCGCTCACCTCTCCCGCAGTTGGTGATGCTCATCCAATTCCCTTTTTCTCTTCTCTCCACTCTCTTTGCAGTTAACACTTGGTGGTGAGGTGCGTACACAGGGTCTCCAAGCTTTCAATACGACACACACATCTCTCCAGTGTATATTTATATTTTGATATAAACGGATCAAACACAAATCAGCTAAAATGTCTGATCGCAAGGCAGTAATCAAGAATGCTGACATGAGCGAGGAGATGCAGCAGGATGCCGTTGACTGCGCGACACAGGCACTCGAGAAGTACAACATTGAGAAGGTAAGTGGAGGAAAGAGTTAAATATTTAATTAAAATTCATTAAAAAATATTAAATAAAACATTTAACAAAATATATAAAACAGGGGTTTTGAAATGTAGAAAAACTTTGAATTAAAACCTAAAAATTAATTTAAAATTATTTTAAATCATATAAAATATATAAAAGAATGTACTGAAAAATGAGGAATAGCTTTAACAATACTGAACAAGTCTGTGAGGGGCTGGCACAACAACAACAACAACAGGTGTTGTGTTCATGCTTCATGGAATAAATGTCCGGCCATTAGATTTTCCAAGAGGAAAAGCCTCTAAACAAACTGAATTTCCAAGAATCTAAATGTATATATTGTGCATACCTTACTATGCACAAGTATCTCTCTAATCAACCTGAAATAAAAGGCTTCTCAAGGCTGAGAGATATTATTTTACATGACAAAAATATATTGAAAATTGTAGACAACCGAGAATAATAAACAACTTGAAATAATGCACCTTTTTGCTAAGAGAAAAATAATTGGAAGTGGGGGGGAATGCAGTGCTAGCGTAACTAAATGGGATTTACACACACACACACACACAGATGACGCTGAAACGTTGTTGCATCTCGGAAAGGCTGAAAAACCTATGGCCAAGAATCGCTGCTGCCCATTTTGCCAGCAAAAATTGTGGTTTTGAACTGCGTTTGGCAATTTCACAATTTTGCGGTTTTAGCCACGATTCCACCCACCCACTAGCAGTTGGGAACTGCGACGCAGTTTTGAGTGCCATCCTATATCCTCCCTTCGCTAGCGGCAGCGCGCAACTCTTTTCACAAACAATCTGCAATATTTCCCCAGCATTTTCCGGGAATTTCTTTTTTTTTTTGTTGTTTGTAATTTTATTACTCCCTGACCTTTGGCCTTATCCTGCAGCTGCATTTTGCATCTCTAAAGGCCATATCTCTAAAGGTTCTTCTCTCTGTGCTTTTACTTTTTCCCCGATTCTCTCTCTTTTTTTTATTAACTTTTGATTCGGAGAAAACGTTGGAAAAGTTGGAATTTTCATTTTAATTAAGCTTTCAATGAATGTATCTTGATTATAAATGTTTTTTTCAAGCTAAAATCGGTTTAAAAATCAAATAAAAGTTAATTAAGCTATTGAGGTATCAAGAATTCAGTTGTATATTTATTTTAAACAATTGAAATTGAGTTTTTCAAAAAGATCCAAGGCAATTTCCCGTCATTAACCTAACCTGCTGTGAAAGTAGCTACCTGACTTGAAGCCAATTTCCCTCAAATTTGGAGGCTGACAAGGGAACGACCGACTACTGACCATCATTAACAGTCGGATGGAGGGGTAAACAACAACTAATAAGCTCTTGATTTAGTCGGCTGCGAATGCAAAGGGAAGAAAAAAACAAAAAAACAAAAACAAAATCAGCCCAGCAATGTCAACAAAGTCCAAGAAATTGAATAATCAATATATGTATTAGGGGGGGATTTGCAATTGAAGGGAAAAACTGTCAAGAAAACACACTACACTAGATAACAAAGAGCTAAAGTTTTAGCTACTTTAAAAGGAAATTTTAGGAATATATATATTGTTATAAATTAAAAACTAAACTAAAATACTAAAATTTAGACTGATTTGCAAATGAAAAGTATGCTGATGGTCAAAGTAAGAGCAGTTAGAAGGACCCTGACTAAGGTCAGTAAAAATGTGTGGGGGGCGGTAGGAAAAAGCTGAAGGAAAAGCCGGCGGAAAAGCTATGGGGGGATGGCCATCAACTATAAGCGGGGGCCTTTGTCAATGCCAATGGCAGAAGACAACACACTGGGACACACACACACACCCACATATACAGATGCAGGGAGAAAGCCCTTGAAAGCGGAGCAAAGTAAACTTGAAATCACAGCGGAAGTGGATAAAAGGCCAGAGGGAGGAGGAGGTGGGAAAGAGAGTCTGCTAATTGAGCAGTAAAAGCGAAATGCGTAAACAGTGAATATCATCAATAAGCAAAGATAATTATACTATATACAAAATTAAAAGGAAGAAAAGAAAGAAAGAGATAAATAAAGAAAAAAAAATCAAAGAAAAAATATATTTTAGTCACTTTAATATATATTTAAATATAAGAAAGTATTAAATAAAAAAATCTCCTTAATTTTGGAGTTTTAAAATCTCTTTTAAAATCTTGATTTAAAATCTTAATTTTGTAATTTAAAATCTCCTTAATTTTGGAGATTTAAATAAAGAAAAAATATCAAAGAAACAAACAATATTTTAGTCACTTTAACAACATTTAAATAAATTATTAATTAAAGAGATTCTCCCCTTTTTCTTGAGATTTAAAATCCTCACTGTATTCTCCAGGACCACGTCCTGAAAGTATGCCACACTTTTTGTTTTTATTTGCACTCTCTCTCCACGGATGCTGTCATTGTGGCAAGAGGGGGGAGAGAGAGAGAAGGTGGTTAGAAAGGTGTTGGGGTGTGGGGGGCAGAATAATACACCCATACAGAGAGAGACACCTGAACCCCATGTCGAGCCTACCTCTTGTTGCTATAAATAAAATATATTCTCCACACACACACACACACACACACACACATACAATCGCACGATTGATTGCCTTTTGTCTTTATTCCTCCCCCCTCTCAGCTCCCTTCTTCTGCGCCACTGCTTATTGCATAATAATAAGTTTGCCATTATTTCTCTCTGTGTGTGTGGGTGCGTTCGTATACTTTGTTTTTTAGGTAATTAAATATGGATTTTTTGTTGTTGTTGTTAGACACAAATTTAATTGCTTAGATGAAAATTGAAAAATTGCCACCGACGACTAATGGAAAATGATAAAAACAGAAAGTGAAAGCAGTAGGGGAAAATTGGGAAAATATGGCAAGACCTTTAACCTTTATGCGACGATGCTGCTGCTGCGGGGCATTGAATATAATTGATTAGAAACAATAACAAAAAAAAAAAAAAAAAAAAAAAAAAAAGGCAAAATACAAATGAAATTTTGCAAGTTTATTTTGAATCAATAACACTTGACCTGCTAAAAGGGGTAAATGTTGGTTGATATTTAACCTCTTTGCTACTATATTTTTTGGAGCTTTTAAAATTCAAGCTAGCTGACACACTTGGGGTCAAATTAATAGGTTTAAAGATTTTTAAATTTTTTTTAAACTGTTTTTAAATTTGTTTTTAAATTGTAATATTTGCAAAATATTCAAAAATGTTTTAAATATATTGAATTTGCAATATAATTCAAAAATGTTTTAATTATGTTTAATTTGCATTTTTTGATAAATTTAATTTCTAAATTACATTAAAATTTATTAGTAATTTTAGAATTAAAGAAACTATTTAGGAAAATTTTAAATATTTCTAAAATTGTAATAAACTAAATGTTAGGTAAATAAACTGAAAAATATATTGAACTAAAATATATTTAAATGCATTTTTTGTTGATCACCGTTTTTGTGGATTTTTGAATCCAATCACAAAATCGTTGCAAAATGCGGGGAGGGGGAAAAACAATTTTTGGTATCCATTAGATACGCAACTAATACAACTCGCAGAGTGAACTCTGGGGTTTACTTGCTGTTAGGTAGGGGAGGAGGCTACTCGGCTACTCTCACCCCCGCGGGACAGACAAGGGTTAAGCCCCTGGCCCCCACTGTGCTTTTTGTTGAAGGTATATACCTTGTGTATATATTTTTAGAGGCGCGCAACCTTTCAAGCAGCTTAAATCGTATCCATAGGCATTATGTTGCCTCCTCCCCGGTTACGTCTATGTATTTGTATCTGTACACCCTCCAGGTGTGTGTGTGTGTGTGTGTGTGTGTGTGTGAGCCGCGATTTAAAGGCAAAGCCCTAAATAAGCCAACAAGAGGGCCAAAAAAAAAGAGGAAGGAACGAAAAATAAATTTCCATTTCCAATTCCATTATTTCGACTTAAGTTTTTAAAAATAAATTTAATTAGTTTAATGTTTTTTTATTGGATTTTTTTTTTGCAAAACCCTGTTAAAATAAATAAAACACACATTTTCACATTCAAATAGTTGCCAGTTGATTTTTTTTTTATTATTTGTTTTATTTTTGTCATTTTTGTTGTTATTTTTTTTATTGTCATTTTGTTTTTTATTATCATTTTTTTAATGGGTTTTGTTTGTGATTTTTTGCGTGGCCCCAAAAAAAAAAAAAAAAAAATGTTTAATCAATATATGCGGGCAGCCAACGAATATTTTGTATGTAAATAGAGATGGGGGGCATGGCATGGCATCGAGTCGCAGTTGACACACATTCATTGCGGATTTTTCTTTCCCCCATTTCCATTTCGAGTTTTTTTTACCAGCTTTTCGTCGCCACTCCTTCAAACATGGCCAAGCATATTTATTGGGGCTCTCTCTCTCTCTCACAGAGGCCTTGGGGATATTTTCCAGGTGTTGTTGCGGTCTAAATGGACAGGGAATTATCCTGCGGTGGTGTGCCGTGCATGAATTACCAGCAGGCACAGTCTCTTCTTTAAGTTTTACTTGGGGTTTTGCAAGAGAAAAAGGGATGCATTTATTTTAAAGTAAAATCTATTTACTTTTAAATCTCAAACAAAATGCAAAATGAATATTTACCTAAAAAAAAGGTGTTAAAATATTAAAGACCCAATCTTGTTTTCCTCATTGAAATACCTTATTTCCTTTCTAAATAAATATAAGAAGGAATCCCCTTTATGTCAATCAAAAATGAAGGAGTTCCTTCATTATTTTCAAAGGAAGCAATCAGTTAGTCCTGCCAAAATGTGTCACTCTCCGTCCGTTGTTGGTTCCCTCTCCTCTGCCTTTAACCCTCTCGCAATTTATATGACCGAAAATTGCAATGTCGGTTTCATTACGCTTACATGTGTTGTGTGTGTGTGTGTGTGTGTTTGGTTGTTGTGTGTGTATATTTATGTGTTCCTTAGTGGCACAACACAACACCACTCCAAGTCACTCACTCGATGGTAACCAACCCAAAACTCACCTTCTTTAACCCCCTTTGTGGGTGTGTGTTGGAATGTTCATTTTCTATATATATATATATAACATTTTTTTTTTGTTTTTGGCGTTGCCAAAACAAAATTCCATGGCATTGCTAGGGAGGGGTGGTTGCATCCCATACCAAACCAAAATTGAATATAAAACAATCAACTTTATATTGTCGTCTGACACGACACGAAAATATACACGCAATAGGCCCCAAAAATATGTGAAAGAAACAAAAAAAAAACCAAAGAAAGAAATAGAGAACAGCTGGAATGACTTAATAGCAACGATCGCTAAAGGATTCCACTACAGTTTTCATACCTTAAGGTGAACCTTATAATTTTCTCTTGGGAAATGGTTTTTTTTTTAAGATTTTCATAGAATTTTTAGGTTTTTTTTTAAACCAAAATTAATATTTATAAGGCAAAAGTCTAGTTTCAAAAGGTTATTTACTTGCTTAGGGAATAGGCTTACATTTTGCAGTATTTAAACTTATAATTCTCAAGTACGAATTCAGCAACAAACTGCTTAAGGTTGTTTAGCTTGGAAACAAGTTTATACTTGTTTAAAATATTGCTATAAAATCACAAAAAAAAAAAAACCTTAATTATTAGAAAAAAAATATATTATAAATAGCTTAAAAAATAAATGTTTAATTTATCAAGGCCTTACTGTATAATGCGGAACTGATGACAACAACTTTACAACTAAAGAATAGCCAAAAAAGAAGGAATTGGATAATGGCACTCAACTAAATCAGCTTTATATTGTTTTTCTTTTATTATTATTTTTAGTTTTTTTTTTTTTTTTTTATTATTTTTCTTCTTTTGTTCTTTATGTTTTGTCCTGTTTGTTTTTATTTTTTTTTTTTTGAGGTTACCGGGTTAAGTTTATGACTTTGCACGCATTCGCCTTGCAATAAGCAAGGGGGTGGTGGCACAGGGTTGGGTTTTGGGTAGGGGTTAAACCCACGCCCCTTTTCGTTGACTAAATGAAATCAAGCCAAAGTGTGGCGCCCCAAAAGTATGGCAAAAGTAAAAACTTTCAGATTGCTTTAACTTTTGTGCCTTTTTTTTGTAGCTAAAAAGAAGAACGTAGTTTTGGGGGCTGCAATAATTGGATGAAAGTAGTATGTAAGTCATCTGTTGTTATTAATTTTAAATGTTTTAATTAGGAAAAAGGAAACTTAAATGATTTAAAGGAAATTTTAGTACCCTTTAAAGTAGGCTATATAAAACAGCTCTCTTGTATTTGTGTGACCTCCATAGTATTTTTATAATATCTATGCGGGTTATTTGTGTTGTTGGTGCTGCTGCGGCGGCTGCTGCTGCGTGTGTGTGTGTGTTTGCGTAACCCTGGACTTAGCCGCCAAAAACGGCTGACAATGACCTTTGACATTTGCCACACACCCAACTAAAACTGCAATGGTTTCTATACACTACTTACTTGCTTGTCACCACCACCCTCTTTTCACTGTCTTTCTTTTTTTTTCTATTTGTAACCCTTTTCAGACTTTTTAGCCTCTCTTTAGCTTTGCTTTTAACCTCTCTTACCCTTTTTAAGCCATCTTTCTAGCCATTTTCCTCTCCCCTGCCTTTAAAAGTCTTGTGGCTTGGCGGTTTGGGGGTTAGGGGTTGGTGAAGGGTTTTTGTGGGATGCAAACATACATAATTAGCTTTGCCTCAAAAAGCCGGCCTTTAATTTCCATCAAATTGCTTAATGCGAAACATACTAGCCGTGAAACAACAACAAGAGGAACAAGAAGAACAAGAACAATAGCAACACCGCAACAATCATAACTAACTCATTAGCACGGAAAAACTTTTCACCCACCCACGAATCACCTCGTATGGAATTTCCTTTCTCCACTTTTGCCTGCCGCCTGCCGCCTGCCGCCTGCCACTGCCTGCCTCTGTTTTTGAGGTCACAATTTGGGTTACCCTAGTGACAGAGAGAAAGAGTGAGACCCGAGACCTCTTAGGGGGGTATGGGAAATAAAACGAAGACGGCGACTACGACGACGACTGGGGAAATGGGTTTTTCGTTTTGCCATTTTATTGAGTTTGCCGCTCGCCGCTTTGGCGCTAATTTCGAAACAGTTAGCAGCCACTTAAGCATTTGTTTTCGCCCGCTTTGACTCGTTTTCCCCCAAACCCACCTGCCTACCACCCACCCACTCGGTTTCAGTTCACTTATTTGTTGTTGTTATTCTTGGCCATTGCATTTTTTGACAGCTTTATGGAATGTGGCGTTAACTTGTTTGACAATTGGCAGTTGCACAGGGCCAAAAAAAAGGGTGGGAGTTTTTTGTTTTAAGTTGATAAATTAATTTACACAGAAAGATAACAGAATCTAGTGCTATGTAGGGTTTGTATATCGATAGGAAAATCTATGATATATCGAAAAAATATTCTAGATATCGAAAATTGAATTATTAAGTTATTTAGGGTTGTATATCGATAGGAAAATCTATGATATATCGAACCAATTTTCTTGTTTTATATATTTTTAAAATTTAAATTATCGAATTATTTATAAATATTTTCCATTTAAAACAATTAAACTCTTTTCTTAACTTTAAATTTTCTTTTATTTTCCAGGACATTGCCGCCTATATCAAGAAGGAATTTGACAAAAAATACAATCCCACATGGCATTGCATTGTTGGTCGCAACTTTGGATCCTATGTGACACACGAGACGCGCCATTTTATTTACTTCTATTTGGGCCAGGTGGCCATTTTATTGTTTAAGAGCGGTTAAAGTATTGTCGAGTCGGATGAAGTGGTGGTGAGGAGGCTGCTGTTGCAACAGCAGCAACAACAACAACAACAACAACACGAAGAACATGAACATGAACACGTCGAACATAGAGAGGAACAGCATGCAGTTGCATCAATGTTGCCTCAACAACAACAACAGCAGAGGCAATTCAACAACCAACAAAATCAACAACAACAACAGTTACAGGATGCGGAAATGATGACCGATACGCCACAAGAAGAGCAGCAAGATCATCTGGAACAACACAAAAAGCCAGAAGATACACAGGATGATATGGTATTAAACAATGATCAGGAGGATCAGGACGATGACGACGAGGAGGATGAGGAGGAGGAGGATGATGGCGGCACCATTGTGGAGGATAGCGATGCAACCAGTTGCAGCAGTTGTCGCCGTGCGGAGGTTGAAGAACAACAACAACAACACAACCAATCGTCGTGGTTATCACCACCGCCTTTGGCCAAACAAGATGATGTCTAAGAATGCGCTCCTCACACACACACCCACATACAGGGAGGGGAATACCCCTTTTGTAACTTTTTGAGGGTACTCCCTGGAATCTTGTTAAACAGAAAACGAAATCAAGAAATCATAGAAACGCGCTGCATACACTGAAAACAACAAGCGATTAAAAGAAGCTATACCCTAGCAACGACGATCATCATCATTCCCCCATCCTGCTTGCACTCACACACACACACACACACACCAGAAACACTTGATATTTTCCTTAGAATTTGCATTGTTTATTTAATTTTGTCTCGGGACCTACAAATGTATCAATGTGCTGGCGCTTGGTTAGACTTTAACAACAACAAAAAGCGTAATTAAACAATTGTTAACTAGAAATGAAAATGAATTGTATTTTTTATTTTATTTTATTTTATTTTTTGGATTTTCAGTTTTTTTAAATTTCAATTTGGAGCTTAGCAGAGGCAAGAACCACAAAACACACAGACACACACTTACATGGACACATAGCACAGGCAACAACCACCACTACAACCGAACGAGCAACGTAAAGAAAAGCAAAAGAAAAAAAGAGAGAAACAAAAAAAAAAAAATTATAAAAGTAAAAAAAATTGTAAGGACAACTCACATATTTTTCTGTTGGATGGATTATTTATGTGTATTGAACTTGGGCTCTCTCTCCCTTTCTCTCAAGCAGAAAACGAAAAAATAGTATAATGTGAAATTTGCATACACACACAAATACACACACACATGCTCTTCTAATATGGGTACATGCAGAAAAATCTTGATTCGTTTTTTTTTTTATTTAAGTGGTAATTTTCCATATCCATTAGAGAAATTTTCCTTAAAAATTCGTTTTTGAAGAATTACAATTCATAAAATTGGTTTTTCTGTTTAAAAAAATTTCAAACATGTTTCATCTGGTTTCTCTCTGTGTACTTAAATAATGTATTATTCATTGCTTACGAGGAAACACAAAAATCGGTGTGTGTGCTGGACATGGATTTTTACCACCTTCCTTTTCTCACATTTTCTTGCAACAACAACAATAATAATAACAGAAAAGTATTACAACAAATTACAACAACAACAGCAAACAGTATATGTTTTGTGTGTATGTGTATATGTATTGTCCATCCACAGCAGCAAAGTATGCAACAAGAAATTTTTTGTAGAAACTGCAAGCAGTAAAGAAAGTGAAAGAAAGTTGGAGAAAAAATGGGGAAAAATAGCAAAAGAACAACAACAACAACAATCCAATGCAAACAAAATATATTATTATCATCTTGTCGTTTATATAATAAATGTGTGCTATGTGTTTCTTCGAATCGGATTTATGTTATGAAAAACAAAAGAAAATACAGAAGGGAAAACGTAAAAAATACAAGATTTTCAAAAGAGAAATGCAAAAAAATGAACAGAAACCAAGAAACCAAATAAAACAAAAAAAATATATAAAATAAATATATATATATTCATGCAAGAAATACAAATAAAGTAAACATTGGTGTAAATTAAGCAAAAACAAAAAAAAAAACTAAGTAAAATCTACTAAAAAAAAGCTTAATACGTAATTTCCTAAAACAACAAGAACAACCAACATTACACTACCACAACAAAAACACACAAGTACTAACATTTACCGTTATTTTTCACGTACACACACACACACACAAACTGCACCTCTCTCTCTCTCTCTTTGGCTATTGCGTTTTAGATTATTGCTCAGCACGTTTTTTGCGTAGACACAAAACTATTTATGCTAACGGTAAGATACGAACCTCTCTTTCACACACACACACACAAACACCCCCTCACTCCCACTCACTTATGATAAAGAAAAAAAAATTAAGAAAAAACGACAAAAAGACACAAGAAAACATTTTTTTTTTGGTCTTGAGAAGCAAAGGCAGGCGAATTTCTAACGGCAAAGACAAAGAAAAACACACACATGAGGACTTTTGACAAGTGTTTATATACAAATATATATATACATGTGTGTATATGTATATGTATATATACATGCAAATGTATACAATACAAAAAAGAGCATAATTTTTTGTCACAATGCAAAATATTTGTGTGCAAAACCAATTTTTGATGTAACAGAAAACAAAAAACAAAAGAAAACCAGAAAACCGAAAGACAGGACAAAAAGAGAGAGCGATACAGAAGAGTAAAGAGAAAGCTCTTGAGATTTTTTTCCCCCAAGATTTAAGTTTTCAGATTCATTTCTTCATTTATTTTTTTTTTTTTTTGCTAATAACTTTTAAAACTCAAATCTTTTAGCTGCCATTTCCAATGAGAAACCAAGAAAAATAATAATAATACAAAAGAAAAACTAGCTTAAAACTTAGTTTATAAACTGTTTACTTGGATTTATTTGTCTATTCTACTTTGTCTAACTCTAATTTACTCGTTACTCGTTGTTTACCTAGTTTTTTTTTTTTTTAATCAACATTACTTAAGTTTTTTGTAAGAGATTAGTGAATTATTGTGAGGTGGTTGAAGCGATAAAATAAAAATTGTGGAGCTATTATGGTGGCAATTTCAAGTAACAATACGAGTAAGAAATGAGAATGCAAAAAACCAAAAACAAAAAAAATAATAAAAATACAAATAAAAAAAAAAACAAAAACAAAACAAAACCAAAATGAGATCTTCAATGTGAAATAAAAAGTACTTCTTTGAAAGCGGGGCTGCGTTTCGGTTGGGCGGGAGACTGGAACTTTCAGGCAGAGAAAAGTAAGTAAAGTAAAGTAAAATTATAATTAAATGTTTTAAGCTGTATTAGTTTTAAATAAAAATTAACTAATTAAAAAACTCTTAAAACTGAAAACTTTTTAAAAATCGATTAAAGGAAACGATAAAAAAAAGATCGATAGAAAATGTAGTGCTGTTAAATGTATACAGAAATATACTAATTATTAAAAGAATTTTTATAAGTTAATACAAAAAATAAAGGGATTAACATTACCAGCTAGGTTTTAATATTGTTATACAGTTTTTATAATTAAAAACTTAAATATAATAAAATAAACACTTAAATTATCAATCTGTAAACCGTTTTAGTATATTTCTTATGACCATACTGCTGGTATTTTCCCACTCACACCACCACGGTCACATCATAGTTGTGCAATATAGAAGTTCATAAACTTGCTGCTTTTTTTTTTAAATTGTTTAACTTGCAACGACGCCCGGCGGTGCGACCGAGACAGCAGTATAGCGTGTGGCAGCTCCAGCAAGCGATTATTTAAGCCAAGATATATTAAATATCTATAGTCCGATTTAGCTCCCCCTCGATATAACCCTCGATTTTCAGCGAACAAAATGTTGCGCACCCTGTCACGCGTTAGCGAATTGCCAATTATTGTTAAGCAACTGCAAAAAGTACGTAATCCAGTAACAAATCTCACCCACTAACATTTTTAATTGTTGTCACTAATTTAACAACAACAACAAAACACACGCACGAACCCAACCAACCAACAACAACAACGACTTAATACAATCAAAACAAATAGCGCAGCCATAACAACAACATCGCCAGCGGAAAGAACAACAACAACAGCTATGGAATGCAACATTGCAGATATTCATCGTCGTTTTTCGGTTTATTCCAGAATGCAGCACAGGCTGGCGTTACGAAAACCAACAATTATGCCACGGAAGCCACCGTTAAAGTGAATCGGGTAAGTAAATTGTAAATATTATCTATTATCTATGCAGAAAAATACCAGAAAGGATTACATAATGCGCTAGCAACTGTTAACTTTTGCGTGCCTGTGTGTGTGTGCGTGTTTGTGCGAGCACGGTGCACAGGGTTGCATTTTAGCCGGTCAAGTTAATTTTGAAATGACAAGGTCACGCATCATCACATCTGTCTTTTTTGTTTTTTGCGTGGCCGCCGCGTGACTGTTCACGCACAAAAATAAAAAAAGCATGAAAGTCGTTATCAGCAAAGGCGATCGGTGATTTTCCCAATGTCTCTCTCTCACTCTCTCTCTCTCTATCTGTCTGTCTTTCTGTCTGTCTTTCTGTCCGTCTCTCTGTTTACCTTAATTCTCACGCTATAAATACAGTTATAAATCAAAGCCTGAACATAAATCAGCTGTTTCTAAGGGAATTATATGGGATCTATGGGATGATCAGCTGTTTCATTGATTTTTATTTTTTTTTAATATTTTTTAAATTTATTTTTAAACCCTCTCTCCCCCTCCCTTTTTCAGCCCTTCAAGCTGCATCGCCTGGACGAAGGACCCGCCGAGGAAGTGAAACTGACCAAGGATGAGGCCCTCCGTTACTACACACAGATGCAAACGATCCGGCGACTGGAAACGGCTGCCGGTAATCTGTACAAGGAGAAGATCATCCGTGGCTTCTGTCATCTGTACTCTGGCCAAGAGGCCTGTGCCGTTGGCATGAAGGCGGCCATGCGGGATGTGGATAATATTATTTCGGCCTACCGTGTCCATGGCTGGACCTACCTGATGGGTGTCTCACCCAGTGGTGTGCTGGCCGAACTGACCGGTGTCCAGGGTGGCTGTGCCCGCGGCAAAGGTGGCTCCATGCACATGTATTCACCGAATTTCTATGGCGGCAATGGCATCGTTGGTGCCCAAGTGCCCCTGGGCACTGGCGTTGCTCTGGCCTGCAAATACAAGGGCAATGGTGGCATGTGCCTGGCTTTGTATGGTGATGGTGCCGCCAATCAAGGACAAGTGTTTGAGGCCTACAACATGGCCTATCTGTGGAAGCTGCCAGTGATCTTTGTCTGCGAGAATAACAATTATGGTTGGTGTTTTTTGAATATTTTATAGATTTTTTTGAAATAATTTAAATACTTTTTTAATGACAGCCATGGGCACTAGCACGGAGCGTGCCTCCTGCAACACGGATTACTATACACGCGGCGATGCTTTGCCTGGCATCTGGGTGGATGGCATGGATGTGCTGGCCGTGCGCAGCGCCACCGAGTTTGCCATTAACTATGTGAATACTGTGGGTCCTTTGGTAATGGAAACTAATACATACCGTTATTCTGGTCACTCGATGTCGGATCCTGGTACGTCCTACCGCACCCGCGAGGAGATTCAGGAAGTGCGCCAAAAGCGTGACCCCATTACCTCCTTCAAGGAGCTGTGCATTGAGCTGGGTCTGCTGTCCGCCGATGAGGTCAAGGTGGGTTTAAAAAATATTTAAAAATTTTAAAATATAAATAATAATTATTAATAATTATTATTATATTTTTTGTAGGCCATTGACTTGAAAGTGCGCAAGGAGATTGATGAGGCCACTGCCTTTTCCAAAACCGATGCCGAGCTGGGTGTTAGCCATCTCTGGACGGATGTCTACTCCAATTGCCTGGAGAGCAAGCTGCGTGGCACCATCTCCTACAATTTGGATCACATCCAAGAGCGCAAGGGTGTCAATCACTAAGCACCTAACGAATTCACACACACAAAAAACAACCCACAACATCAACACCCACAAAACCTAAACAAAAGGCAACTCTAACCGAAAGACAGGACAGACTTAGACACAAGCGAAATCTCTAGCTATTAAGCCGAATGTTTGAAAAGGATGAGAACACCAGATATTGGATGATAAAGAGGAGTATGTACCCCCCCACGTAGTCAACCCAAAAAAGCTTAGCTAAACGGAGGAGCACACCCATATTTGTAGTGTAGCCACAACCACATAACTCACTGGGGAAACTGCATTGGATATTATATTACGAGCGTGTTCAATAATGGATAAAGCCAGGTGTAAATTGTTGAAAATATACTAAAAATAAAATACCTAGAAAAATTAACCAGGCAAGTGTGTTTTCTTGTTTATTTTTAAGATTTAAAAATTGGTTGGAATATTTTCCACTATTTTCTATTTATTTATTTTTTAAATTAATATTTGAGTTATTTATTCAACTAAAATAAAACAAAAAAGTGTGTTTTCTTGTTTATTTTTAAAATTCAAAAATCTTTTGAATTCCTTTCTAATTTTTTCTTTTTAAAATTAAGATTTAAGCAGACTTGACTTATATTCTGATAAAATCGAATGGAAATTTTACACTATTTTCTTTTTATTTTTAAATTAATATTTAAGCAGGCTTGGATTAAATTCTGCAAAATTTTTTTGTAAATTTTATAAAATATTCTTTTTTTTTTAAATTAAGATTTAAGCTGACTTTATTTATATGTTACAAAAATCCTTTGTAGATTTTAGACTACTCTTTCTCTTTCTTTTTACAAATTTACCTCGCTTTCTCCCTCTTTTTGACTTGATTTAACTGAGACAAGGAGCTAAAGGGTCTAAAGGAAAAAGCTCTAGCTGCCGTTTAATAACAAGTTCCAGGACCACCCTAAAGTAGTAATATCCTTAGCTTAAATTTGGCGAAAGTAAAAGCTTTTTTTTTAGTCAAGTCTCAAACAAAAAAATATACAAAATAAAAATACATCAAATTTATTATGGCTTTTTGTAAATTATATATTTTTTTAGACATATTTCAGTTTTTATTTATTTAAAAAAATAAAACAAATATAAAAGAAATTTTTGTTAAATAAATAAAATTTGAAAAATATCTAAGAGAAAAATATGGAATTTATTTAAATTAAAATTAATAAAACTATATTTATTTTTATTTTATTATATTTCTACATTTTATTTTACGCCTAGAAAAACCATGTCGAAAGCTGTGTCGACTGTCAAAAGCTTAGAAGCTAAAATACAAAGCTTCTTCAAATTATGTTTTCTTAAAATACTTAGAAAAAAATTTAAATAAAAACAAATTTAAATTAAAAAAAAAAAAATCTAGAAAAATGTTAAGTTAAGATATTGAAATAATATTTCATCTCTTTCTTCAGCCTACTTCTTCTACTTCACCTAAACTTTAATTAAAAACTTTGCAACATTTTTGTTTTCTGTGTACTGAAAGCTCTCCCACAGCCACCTGTAAGAGGTCTCCCCTTGTACTCGTCCGCGCTAATCGAGCTGATCGGCAGAGATATGCCCAGAGCCCCCATCCATTTATCATTCGGTTAAATGGCGACCGTGGTAGTACCCGATATGTGTGTGTGTGTATGTATATATATAGCATATATCCGACGATCCGCTGTACCGCCGCGTATCCCATCGTGGCTTCAGTCTCCTCGCGATGCTCTGGCGTTGATCTTCGCCCAATATTTCGAACCAAACCGATCCAAAACGAACCGAACCGATCTTCACGTGCATTCGGGATTTATTTATTTATTTATCGAGAGTGTGTGTGTATGTGTTTTGTAATTAAATATAAATTTAAAAAATAATATATATAAATATTTTTTTATATTTTTTTTGTGAAGTGAAAAAGAAATATATGAAATATATGCCTTAAATATATCTATTAGACTTGGAATTTAGTGAGAAAATAAATGTTTTAAAGGAAAATTACCATAAAAATTAAATTAAATCTATAAAATAATAAAATAAACAATTCAAAACTGAGAATAAAGCTTGGCAAATAAATGGGAATATAAATTTAATTGTGAATTTAAAACAAAATTAAATAAAAAATATATTTTATAATCAAATTGGTTTTTTTTTAAATTTATTTAATATATTATTATTTATTATTTTAATTTATTTGTCAATATTTTTATTAGAAAAGCTTAACGGCAACTGGCAAACAATTTTCCACATTTTAAAATATTTTCTTTATTTTTTCCTGTTGTTTGTATTTTATTTTAGTTTTTGTTTTCATTTTGGGACATACTTGGCCACACAGGAAAATTCATGAGAGCATTTCTCTTTTGCTTTTTAAGTTTTTCTTTTATTTTCTGTCATTTGAATTGTTTTTTTTTGTTCTGAAAATGGCATTTTCTTTGCTTATTTCTCAGTTGGTTTTAAATTATTGACAATTGTGATAGAGCATAAAAAAGGAAACAGAAGGAAATAAACTGGCATAAATATGGCAAATTTTTCTATTAAAACTCATAAAAATATATAAATATAAAAAATAATTCATATTCAACGGTCAAAGGAGGATTATAATTTATGGATATCCTGGTCTGAACGAAAATATATACATATATAATTAGCAAGAAAACGGAAAATCAACTAAAACAAAAACATACAGCAGAACGAGGAGAATATTTCAGGTTTGTGTTTTGAATATACTTTATTTATTTTTATTTAATAAAATAATTGTTTGTTTAAGATTTTGAATAGGTTCTTATGTATTTTCAAATAAAATAGGTATTTGGCTGTTTTTTTTTTAATATATTTTTAATTTTGTTAGACAAAATTATTATGTGGTTTTTAAAATATTTGTATAATTTTTTTCAATTTATATGTACATTTTATTTTATTAAATATTAATATTATTATTTTATTTAAATGAATGTAAAGAATATTTTTAAATTATCTGAAAAATAAATAAATTAAAATATTTTGGAATTTATTTTTCAGATATTTTAAAAACATTCTTTAACATTAATTTAATAAAAATAATATTAATTAATTTAATTTAATTAAAATAATATTTAATTAATTTATTTTAATTAAAGTAATATTTTTTAGAATTTAAAACATTCCCTAGTTTATTTATTTAAATCATAATTTACATTTTAAACATTTTCTTAAGCATTTTAAAATTGTATCTTTAACTTAGAGATAATAAAATAAACTATAAAATATTGTATTTAATTAAAAAATAAATTAAATTAGAGCACCTCTTCTTTCGGATTAGGTTTTATTTTTTTATATTTTTTGTATATTTTTTTATATATTTTTATATTTTTTATATATTTTTATATTTTTTGTATATTTTTTTATATATTTTTTTTATATTTTTTTATATTTTTTATATGTTTTTATTTTTTTTATATTTTTTTATATTATAAAATTATAAAAATATTTTTTTTATATTTTTTTTTATATATTTTATATTTTTTAAATATTTTTTTACATTGTTTTATATTTTATTAAACCTTAAATAAATTATTATTTGCCTTACAAATGATTTAAATAAACCCTAAAAACTCAAAATCATGTTCTTTATTTATTTATATTTATTTATTTATTATGTTTACCCCTCGTGATGCAAAAGACTCCCGCTGAGAGCTGATCAAATACACTCAAAAATCAATTGTATTGTTTTTTTTCTACGCTCTTCAAGTGACACACTTGAGCTGAAATTTGTATCTTGAGAGATCATTCAGGAGCAGCGTCTCGGCAATATATATGCACGTACGTACGTACGTACGTTTCTATATAGACAGGTATATAGCAAGATGATCCAGGGCCAAGTCGAGTGGCATTTTTTGTTCAGTATTTCCGCTACATTTGCATAGACGGCGGCGGCGGCGGCGGTTTAGGGTAAGGTGAACTGGGAATGGAGAGAATCTTACCAAAAAGCTATACAAAATATTGACCAGCAATCAACACATTACAATTTCAATTTAAATTCCACTTTTAAATTTTAAATTTATAAATTTAACATTTAAATTCCATCTCCAGAGGCGGCGGCGGCCGGCCGGCCACATGTGATGTTGGCACACATGGCGTATACTCAACGCCAATTGGCCGCAGCCAAAGGCAAAGCCCAAGAAGCTAATCCCGCATCTAATAAATATAATCAAAATTGCTGGCTCCCCGTCTCCAAGTCCTCAATTGAATAATTGAGCAATCTAACGCTTGCCGGGGTCGTCTTCAGTCTGTCTGTCTGTTAAAATTTTATTTTTTTCTTCGTTTTCTTCACTTGAAGCTTGAAAGGGGATCTATTCGCGCCTTTTGGTGTGGGGGATCTTCTTTTTTTTATTCTAAAAAGTCGGAAGAACGTGGTGATTCTTGGAATGTAAAACAATATTTGTAGAATAATTTTTTTTTTAAGATGATAGTCATTTTTTTTAAATATATATATTTTTAAATATGTTTTTTTTTAATTTTTAAAAAGTAACTATTTTTTTTTTAAATTTAAGAAATCATTTTAGTGTAATTTAAAAAAATGTAATAGTAATTTTTTTGAATTTAACTTTTTCTAAATTTTTTATACATACTAAAAAAAAAAAAATTGTTATTAAAAACTTTTTTTTCAAATATAATTTTTTTTCGCAACATTTTTAAAGTAAATAAATTTTTATAAATTCAAGAAAAAATTTATTATTTATTATAAATAAAATTATTATAAATAAAATTTTTATTATAAATAAAATTATTATAAATAAAATTTTTATTATAAATAAAATTAAGCTTAAAAACAAAATAAAAAAATGGTTGCAGAAAGAAAACAAAAAAAAAAAAACACATTCTTGTGGATATATTGTTTTAAATTATTTATAAAAAATATTTAAAAATTCAAATGCAACATAAATACTTATTACCTCGATTACCCTCCACTTTCCTTTGTTTATTTTCCATTTTTTATAATTTTCCCCGCTCGTCTCAGATCGAACTATAGTTTTCCTACTCAAGAAACTGATGACGCGACCTTGAATTAAAATAGAATTTTATATATAGTATATATATATATATATATTTATTTTGGTTTTCGCCGCACGTCACCAAATTCGCCGAACATTTGAAATACTTTTCCTCTGAATTTGCTTTGGTCTTTCTTGAAACCCCAAAGGAATGCGGCTGGATATCTTGAGCAAATTTGAGATAAGATCACTGAATTCAAGTGGAAATGCATTTGCATTCCCGCGGCAGAAGGCGAACATTTAAATCAAATGAGGCAGCCAGAAAATTGAAATTAAAATTGAATTGCATGTGGCGAAAAGTGGTGGGGAGGGGGGACGGGGGGGTTGAAAAATAATAATAATTATAATAGTGAGAGAGATACTGAAATGCTGAAAATCATGAAACATTTGTATTTGCATTTTGGCATTTAAACGCCTGCAATTGTTTTTTTTTTTGTTTTTTTCGAGGTCAAAATTCTCTCAAATTTGAGTGGAAAAAAAATAATGCCATAAATTTTATATGGATTTTTAATTTCGGTGGAAAATCCATCTAGGAATAAACATTTTCATCACTGAAAATTATGTTTATAATGATCAAAGATATATTTGGGGTTTTAATATACATTTTAAATTGAATTTTGAAATGGAAATTATAGGGTTTTTTTAGGTATCATTAAAAAATATTATTCTTAGAACTAAAAACAATAATATGCTTTCTTTTTTGTTTAGCAATAAATATATTGTAATTATTGTAATAAACTAATATTTATAAAGATTTTCTTAGTTGTTAAAAAGACAATTTTTTTTAACCTATGGTCGGTCACCGTGACTTCATGCCTGAAATGTTAGAACCAGTTAGGAATTATAAGTGCATTTGTGTGGCATTTTTTGCGGTGAAACTTTTAAGGCAAATTCGCTTTGGTTTTTATGAAAAATTTACCTACAAAACAAGTGTAGTTTGTCTTTATAATAAAGGAACTAATAAGGAACTAAAAAGAAACTAAAAAGGTACTAAAAAGAAACTAAAAACCAAACTAAGCCAATTATAAATGAAAATTAAAAAAAAAATAGATAAATTATCCTTTATTTTATGGTTCCTTAAATTCATAGAAATTATAGAACAAATATTTTTGAGTTTGTAATATTTGGCCTTATTATTATTACTATTATTATTATTATTATTATTTATAAAAAGAAAATAAATGCCTGACAATTTTTCAACCACATCAAAAAAATAGAAACATTTGGGCCACATGTGAATAAAGCCATAAAAAGTGGATTAAATGCTATGGAAAGAAACTCAGGCAAAAAAAAAATGCAAAACAAAATACAAAATTCTAGAGAAACGAAAACGAGAGGTGGACTAAACTGCAATTGAGTGAATGACAATATTATTTATTTAATTTGTTGTGCTCGCATACGAAAATAGATGCCGAAAATAACAGAGAGCCTAAGAAATGAAAACCAAATCACGAAAATCGAGAGGCGAACGTGACAAAAAGATACAAATACAGATGCAGATACATCTAGAGAGATACACAGATACAAACTAATGATTCGAAAGAACAACAGGCCGAGTGACAAAACCAGCTACCAACGACGCACGAGAATATATGACAGAAAATATCAAATCAAATGCATTCAGCCTGGCAGGTGGAAAAATGACAGCCAAATGGAAACAAAAGGGGTGTGTGTGTGTGTATGGAAAAACTAGAGTAGGATTTTTTGTTGTTTTTTGTATTTTTTTGGGGTAGAAAGAGGCTTCCATTAGCAGCCGTCTAATGACAAACCCCTCTCAACCAAAATAAACACCACAAAAAAGGCGAGGAAGTACCCAAAAACCAAAACTTTTGACAGCTCAATGTCGCCTGAATATTTATATATATACAAAAATATATATATATATATATATATATATATATATATCACCCAATAGCTCATAATCGAGAGGCAAAGAAAATCCTAGAGGGGATTACCATTAGAAAATGACTCAACCAAATACAATTTCAACAGGTAAATACAAAAAGTGGCTACAAAAAATATTTTATTTAATTTTTCAAATACCTAAAACCTTAAATATATATTTATTATATTTTCTAAATACGTAGTTAGGTGCTAGAAAGGATTATATATAGATGGATTATACAGTCAATAAACAATGAATTCGTTCAATAAACAACATGGGCTCATAAAACTCTTGCTATATTTATTGTTTTTTGTTTTGTATTAATTGCCTATAATTTTTTAATGAGTATTCGTGAAGGTAAAAAGCTTTAAAAATTAATTACAAACATTTAAGAAAAACAAAAAATATAATAAATAAAATATAATAAAAATTTAAGCAATTTTAGAATTATTATCTAAGGTTTTATTAATTTTATAAAATTATTTTGATTTTTCTTAAATTTTGTAATTAAAAATTTAATTATAAGATTTTTATAAATATTTTATATAATTAATTCAAGAACATGATAGGTTTTATAAATTTTTTAAATATTTTTAAATGATTTTTCGGAAATTTTATAATTAAAAATTTAAATGTACGATTTTTATAAATATTTTATATATTTAATTCAAGTACTTCAAATAGTTTATATTTCATAAAATGATTATTTATTTTTATTTATTACTTTTACTCATAAATAATCAATTAATTATTAATCAAATCCATTAAAATCCATTTTATTATTAATTTTTAC